AATGTATTGACCCATATATGTCGATCTCCATTTATCATAATCAGCCTCATTAAGCCCTATTATAGGTCTGGTCGAATACATGATAGATATAGAAAAGGACATCTTAAGTCCTGCTGGCACTATCATTCTAAAAATATTAAGTTTATTTTCTTATTTAATTTTATTTTTGAGGTAATTTAAATAATTAAATAAATCACAAAATGAAGACATAATTCAAAAGTATACCGAAAAAGATACCAATTATAGAGTAAAGAAAGGAAGATTTTCTTATTTGAAATTTATTTTATAATGATAGAAACAATATATATGTTTATTCTCACTTTTAACATACTGAAAATTTTATTATTTTTATATTATTTGAAATCATTTGGTAGTTGGCTTTATATAATAAATCTCGTCACGACTTTCCCTTCTCAGTGCATTGTATTTAACGACCATTAGTTACATTTTAACTGATGCGAAAATACGGAAATAGGAATGACACAAAAATAAACGTCATCAACTAAACAATATTCTGGAACGATAATTATCAAAGTATTGTTATTTTTCAAAATATTCGAAAATTACCGTGTCAATACATGAATTTATATGTAATAATTTAGAAACTATTCATATTTGTTCTTATTATTCAGAGCGTGATTTATTTTCTATATTTTGACTGATTTAAATCTTTGTTTTGTTTTTAAATTTACTTATATTTACAATCCAAACTGAATCTATTAATCTAAACTCCAGAATTTTCAGTCTTTTTTTTCCATTAGTAGTTTATTCACTATATTTAGTTGACCTTCATCTTAACATTAAGGTCAAATAATTAATAAAAATTACAAAAAAACTCCCCAAATCAGTGTAAAAACTTGTTATAGATTTCATTTAAATTAAGTTTATTTAGTATATAAATATATACATTATATAGGCTACAATCAATAGAAAATTATCTAATAAAGACAACTGTAATTACTAATAATCTAATTAATACAAAATAATGCATTCAATAGTTAATAAGTTGCATTCACAGTGTTCTGTATAATCTGTACTTCCTTAATATACATCTTAGTACATTTTGTAAGGAAATGAATATACTTTTATTACTATAATTAATTGATAAACTGATTCTTGCATGCCAACAAGTCATTTGGTTGGCTTTAAGAAGGGAAATACCTGACCCACAAAACAGTTTATGAATACGAATAAAGGAAAATAAAGCAAAAGAGGGGATATCCTAGATTCAAATCCAAGGTTTTCTAGAATTTCCCTTACTCTAAGATTAAAATCTCTAAAAGATAATAACAGTTTGAATCTGATAGAAATCTATACCGTAATAACTTTTCCTTTATAAAACCAGATAACTAATTAATGCAGTAAAAACCGTATCATTTTAATTGTTTGTATCTGACTTATGTAAAGTGGCTTTTAAACTACTTCTTATCTTAAATGTAGTCAAAATATCAAAATAAGACTGAAATCTGATTGACACTCACACAATAGGTTATTATAGTATAAAATTTAAAATATCTTAGGATAATTATCAAAAGAACCGAACAACTTGTGTGTATTTAACAAAATCTTAGTCTTCTCTATGTTAAAATTAACAATATTAAAAACATTTTAAAAAATTAATTGCGATTTCCATTGTATTTAAGTAGTTCTAGGAACAGAGTTAATAATAATAACCCGGGACATTCCCTGTTTATTTTATTGAACATTATTAAAGGTTGCATAAATTTTAAATGGGAAATTTATTTTAATGTCTTTTATACAGACTTTACAACTAATTTTAAATTATCTCAATCAAATCCCATATTTACCAATGCCAAACCTATATATACTAGAGCCACGTGAGGCTACGTTTTGGTTACTATTGTAATAATTTATAATTATCGTCTATTTCTAATTATTAAATTGTCAATTTTAAATATACTTCGTTCATAATTATCATATTTTAAATTTTAAGCTTCCAGTCATCGATCCGGAAATTAATTTTTATACCCTGTTTGTGTACCTTAATCACAAATAGCAATAAATTAAGCAATAGAGTTCATAATTATTACCAATAACATGTATATTTAATTTATGATATTAAGTAATTTATTAGATAATATTGTTAAATTAAGTGATAATCCATGGAAATAAAGTTAATTCTTTAAATAAAACAGAAATAGAGTAGCATATACTGCATTATACTTTTAATTAGCCTAACAATTTAAAATATAATAAAATCTATATACTTATGACGTGCTTATTCACAGAACAAATAAATGTGTGCATATAACATGTATTACATATAACAGTTTTCTTAAATCATTTCAATATCTATTCAATCTTTCCAGACAGTGAAGGCTAATAGTGTGATGGTTGGAGGGCATTTAGAGATACAGGAAGATTACCATTAGCTTTTTTTTCCATCAAGGATGAACAGCTTAGATTATTAACTGACTCTTGCCCTTCAACAACCCTTCAAGATAATTCAAGCGCCTATTCTAGTCGCAGTATACGACATTGGTTTCAGAATAGCGATATTGAGGTTCTAGAATAGACAGAATTCTCAATACGATTGAAAATCTTTAAATAAGGAATTCTCATGAGCAGATAACAATTCATTTGCATCAGTCGAACATTAAAAAAACTGCAATTCTTCAGGCTTAGGAAGAGGTGTATGTGAAGACCTCACAAAATCACGTTCAAAGCATGTCCAAAGAAATATTTCAATTAATTAATAAAAATGGACACTTAACTAATTAATAATACTAATGTTTAATGGCTTTTATATCCTTTTTTCTTAATCAATATTAAGAAACAAAGGAAAATAGAGTGTCGATGGGTAGTATCTAAGTAGGGTATCTCTATAAAAACCAATATATTATTAAAATATGCAAACAATTTGATATTTGTATACTCACATAACTCGTTTATTGTTTTAATTGAGTTATTGACAATTATCAGTGGTTTAATATATCTAGTCTTTTGCAATGCACATTTTGGAAAGGTGTACATACATACATATTTATGTCGAATTTCTACAGTATAATGTTACGTTATTTCAAAATTGCCAATTAGCTTGAATGATCAAGGTCAACAACTAAATTTTTCCAATAAATTATTAAAATAAAAAACGAAGAAAAACATTCAAAGACAAAAACTAGCATAGTCGGCTATTCTTGTTTCTATTTTTAAAATTAAATTTAAAATAATTTATACTGTTTAAAATTATATTAAATGAATAATCGCTCGTTTTCAAACTAATAGAAAATGGTTAGAATTGTTCGAAAACATTTAATATATACGTATAATGAAATCTCTCTATAACGAGCAAAAGTCTATCCATTACAGAGAAGTGTCAGGTTTCTTACAACTTTTAAATGTAACATACAGTATTTTTATTTAGAAATATATAAATACCGTGAAAAAATAGTAATAAGACACATCGCAGTAAGTGGTGAAGTATTATAAGAGGGTTAGCATTAATATTATTTTTTAAACTCTGTTTTTTTACAAATTATCGTAGGACTTACCATACACTATTGAGTCAATAGGAGAAATCACACAGAGATCAATGAACACTTGATGTTTATTGTAATAACGGTATAATGTTTGATAAATCCTACTGTGAGCCAAAACTTAGCGCTCACATATTCAATTATAGAAAATTTGTAGTTTACAAAATGTTACTGAATCATACTGATGAACCGTGGATCACCTATTCCCATTCCAACTTCTTGTCCTGTAGATAATATTAAATAATGATAGATTGTGTGCCAAAATAGTTTGTCTACCCGGTAACCTAACGAGATATGCGATGCTTGAAAATACCCTTTTGCTGCATAGAATTGCAAAAAGTTTTGTGAACCATCAGTGGTACACAAACCACGCTTTGAGAACCACTACTTTATACAATATGCACCTTTATGTTATTTTATATTGTATAAAAACATAACGTAAGGTAATTTGAGAAATATATCAACAAAAATAATAGTAAATTTTAAGTATAAATTGTTATTTTCCTCTAAAGCATTAAAAAGTCATAGCTAATGAAGGAAGAAAATGAACAACTAATGGCTTTTTAAAGTTATAATAAAATAATAATATTTTTTTTAGAATTAACTGTATTGAATTTAGAATTAGTATTTTACTTTACGAATTTTATTAAATTTTTTTCACTATTGAAATAACAATTAAATACATATCTGAGCTTTCAATTTCAAAAAAAAACAATAGTTATGTATTCGTCCTTCAGCATCTATAACTTTTTATGCTTGATTGGGAAATAACAATTGATACTAAAATTCGCTACTTTAGCTGATATTTTTTTCAGATTACGTTTTGTATTGTTTTTTTATACAATAAAAATAACATAAAGAAGAAAATTGCCTAGTAAACAAAGCAAAATCACACTTGATGTATGTGTACATTTAATTAGAAACTTAGCGTTATAAATTTGGAATTTATACCTTCATTTTGTTAAAAATAAGCCTTGATGACAATTAATATAACGACAAAATAACAGTGATTATTATTTCGATGAAAAATGATTAATACTTTCTTTATAATAGAAAGAAAGGCGATCCTTGTAACTGCTTTGCTCGGAAGTGGTGATTTTTACACTTGCTAACACCTAGATGTGAACCTTACACTTGTAAACTACTGAAGAAGCGATTCTTACACTTGCTGACAAGGATGTAATACTTATTTATTTATTTTTTTCCCCTAAATTCCGCACGCGTAATTACGGGTCAGGAAGCATGGACGTTGTCATTTTGACCCCACTGTATCTCGAAAACGAAATCATGGATCCTTTTTTTATTATATTTTTTATATTTTTCATTGCAATTAACACGTATTCATTCAGTTTCTCCTCAGTCTACTGTATTCTATTACTCTATATACCTATATTACAAATATGAAATACACTATATTATAAAAAGAAATAGTATGTTTTTTTTAACTTCACCCTTTTAAAAGTCTTGCACACGGGTCTAGAAGAAGCCTATTTTAGTAGATTAGACTATTATTTCATAACCAAACTCGCCAGGTTTCGAGGTGAACAAGTTATAAATGACGAGACCAAGAAAGTCAAGGAGATAAGAGGTCATTTAATAATGTCGTCTCGAAACACGAAGGTACATTGAAGTAATTTTAGTGTTGGATATACATTGTGATATTGTGAGACTAAGCTGTATGGAAAATCCTTGTTGTTGTAGACATAAAAACTGGCTTATCTGATAACTAGTTATTGTTAATTTAGGTGAGTTGACGATTATTCATATAGACAGACCTAAGACCGGTTTTTTAAATCAGCTTATAAAAACTAATATTATGTTTCTAGAGTAAAAATTCTAATGAGGATATTATAATTTAAACGAAATAGATATAAATTGCTAATGTTTTATTGTTGTCCTTTTTTAAAAAAAATAGTTAATTTATGGTTAATTAATTTCGAAAAAATAGTAATTTTTTTTCCTTATGTTTAACATAAATAAATTGGAAGAATAATAAAAATTCTGGCTTGATAAATATGCCTTTTTTTTATAAACTTTTTAAATATATAATACTCATTTCATAATTAGTTTAATTTAAAAAAATAATGCGTCGCGCCATCTGTTGCGAGATTTTATTTAAAATTTTTTATTTGTAATATTAATTATTATAAAAGACAAAAGTTTTATTTTGGAAGGGTAGAGATGAATTTTTTTAAATTGTAAATGGCAATAACGAGTTAAATTTTCATTAAACTTGATCCCAATCGAGATATAACTCCCTCCCCTCTATATCCCTCTTGACATTTAGTGTAATTAAACAGTATTAATGATGTTTCATCAATATTAATAATCCAATACAATTGTCTTTATGTCTTGTTCCTTAAAATTATGGATAGAGATTCCAAATTTTATTAATTATCTAGAATTATTAATACAGAATAATCTAATATATAATCGAGACGGGTTGATAATAATAATAATAATAATAATAATCAGCGCAGAGCCCAAACGGTTAGGAGTTGAAAGTTGAAATTTGGTNCTAGTCTATAATAAGTTTTATTTATTATTATTATTATATGTGTATTATTAAATATTTATATTATATTAGCACAGCTTTAATTATATGGAGGGTTTAAGTCCATAAAAACTATTTCATAAAATACTCCATTGGATATTATATATACTTAAACCAATCATCTTTCTATACCACGTGTGGACAAGACCTCGATCATGAGTGAATTTAGAGAATTTTTGGGACCACATTCTGGGAGTTTTCCTCGGAATTTAATAGCAGAAAATGCCCCTTACACACAAAGCTACTGTGCCAAATTTCGTTTCTTAATCATTACCCCATCTTCAGATATTAATCTTCCAGCGAACAAGATGAATAAAAGTCACACAATGAAACATATCGGGTTAACTTTGCCCTGAATATTATCTACTTATAAACATATCAATTAAATAAAAGTACAATTTAAAATTGCACTCTTTATTTTATTTATTATTTATTTATTATTCTTATTTGATTATTTTGTTTTTCTGTTCCTCACATGTTCTTCCACTAATGACAATCTTAATTTCTTAATAAAATATCTTCTTTAATTAGTTTTCCGTTTTCTACTTCAATATTCATTATATATATTACCATAGCATTAATGCTGCATAATTTAGCATAGAAAAAATTGTGGTGAGTTGCCAACGTTTTGAATTGCGTGACACATTACAAGTCCTTGCAAGTTTATTCACATCGACTCCACTTTTTATTTAATTGTAAAAGATTATAACAGATGATTACCTTTTATCTCCACTTTCTTTATCCAATTTCCGTTTATAACGTAAATTAGCAATAAAAACGTGCATAGTTTTGCATGTAGAAGATTAGAGTAACATCTTTTTGAAATCCAAATAGAGATTAGAGAGGTTGCGGCCGAAGTTTTCATCTCTCAAACGTAAACGTCGAACGTCGAGCGCCGCTTACAAGATATCGGCGCTCGACGTTTGGCGCCGATATCTTGCACTTTTCTTTGAATTGTGCCGGAATGAAAGTTTTGTTTGCTTAAATCTGTCATGACAGATGATTCAGTATTTGTTTGTAACTCTTTGGCATCTGCTTCACTATCAGAATCTGCATAATCAAATGATTTGATTCGCGATTTCCAAGAAGAAAAATGTCATTATAGGAGAAGTTGCTGTTTTCCTCTAAAAGTGCTGAAGGAATGTCACTAGCCTGAAGTTTACAAGATACTTTATGGTTTCCTTTGTTAAAAACAAACATAAAATGATATAAATAAACAAAAATCTTTGGTTTTAGAAAGAAAAGTGAAAAGCATAGTACTTTAATCGCTCGGTCCAGAACCACGTGGAGATAAAAACGCCCAGACACAATTTAAGCACGTGCTCAAGCTATGACACCATAAGCCAAAACAATTTACTATTGCATCAACAAGCGGCAACATCACAACTCTAGTACTGAAAAAATCAGATTGCTTGCGTATATTTTGAAATAAATACAAATACAACACTGAGGTTAATTCAACCACCATCTAGTTCACGAAAGGTTAAACGAAACACACGCAAACACATGGAATTTTGGGTTCAGGGGCTCTCAAAACGTGGAGATTTGCAAAAAACTCGCAGGGTCAAATTTGACACGTGACACGATTCCGATACTTTCTCTTGTTATGTATACATAACAACCGGGAAAGTAAAACGAAACCAAGTAGCCTATATTAATCCTATCTGTGTAATCTCTCATGAATATTAAAACGACCTAAATAAGTGATTATATAGGAATCTTTACGTAGAAAAAAAAAACAGTTAAATAAGAATGTCGCATTATATTTATAAAAGATAAATATTTTTGAAAGTCTCGATTACGCTAACAAATAACTCTTAATGTTGATAGAAATGATGTATTGCAGAGTACCTTATTGTAACTCTAGATAGGCAAAAGCTAATAGTGTCTTATTTCATAAATTTTCAATAAATAACGAGTGTAAAAAATAAATTTTAGCAATTTTCTACAAGACGAAACGGATGATTCTTGGCTCTTGTTTGGCTCTTGGCTTATGTTTTGTCTCCACAATTAAATCGTTTCTATATTAAGTACATAAACGAGAAATAAGTTTCATATTAGAAATTCCATTTAACAATAGAGTCGTACCGGTTGTCTATCTAACACCTTTCAGGAGAAAATATTTGAACTGAAATAACGTGACTTCCGGTTTGCATCAGAAGTTTGCATATATTTAATTGGGGTCTTCTGTCCCTAAAGTTTCCATTCATGTCTCGTCTTACATCTATCTAACACCGTTCTTGAGATTAAGGAAAGACAGATAGACGGACGACAGTGGGATTTATAAGTCTATAGTTTTTTATTCAAATAGCAATCCAATTAACTATAGGATAATGAATAACAAGGTATTATATCCATCCTAATTCCACGCAGCAGTTTTTGCGAATAATTTATTCAAAAACTAATAGATAAATACTGTAAATAAATAATAATAATAATAAAGAAACGATATGATTTATTAAATTTCATAAAGTTTAGTGTAATTAATACATACGTTAGAAGGTGAACAGCTGTTAAATACTAATGTAATTCAACTATTTCAACCAGTTTTTCTTTAATGTTGCCTTGAGTATTAATCAGAAAAAATATGTCTTGCATTTTTAATGAATGTAGATTCAAATTGGATTAGATTTCATCAATAAATTTTATAAAATCAACAAGTTTGGTTCAACCTTGTAACTCGTTTTTTGACTAAAAACTTTCCAGTTGATAAAAGTAAAATTTAACCGTTTATACAAATTCAAAAGAAGCTTACAAAAGTTTTCCTAAATCACCTCTAAGTCCAGATGTGTTAAGATTGTCCCTCGACGTGTCCTTCGGTGAGATAGATGCCCCGGAGCAGCGTTGATTCGGAATGTGGAGCCGACGACTGGAAACAATCCTCGGTGATCTCGGTCGAGAAGATAAAGCAAAAAAACAGGCACAAAATAAAGTTTAGAATTCACGCTGTTCTTAAGCGGCTACAGAAGAAGGGCAGACGGGAGAGAATATAGATGAACAATCGGCGAAGAAAACCTCCTAGTCCTTGATTCCGTTGTTTATATGCAGTTTTAGCGGATTAAAAGAGTTCTAGTTAGGTTGAATCTTCCTCCCTCGCTTCTCAGTTGGTCACCCCTCCTTATCCTTTTTTCTCGTATTTTAAGCCATTATGACAATCAAGAATTTTTACCCAATTGAACTTCAAATCCACATATATTTTATTAATTATCAATATTTTCCTGTTAAATAATTATGTATGTGCATTTTTTTAAAGAAAATGTTTATAAAGTATCACAGATAATAAATTATAAATAATAATAATTTTTTTTTTTTAGATATTAAACATGAATGTGAACATTGTACAACAGTGTATCTCGTCTGGGTTTAGGCAATTAGGACGTTTAATTGCTCGTCGTCCTTTCTTTTTTATCATTACTCCATTAATAGTTACTGGTATACTCTCTCCAGGTTTGTATTTTTTACAGCGTGAAAGTGATATCAATTATTTATTTGCATCCGAAACTGGAAGAGTTTATACGGATAAACAAATCATAAAATCATTATTTTCTTCCGACGAATCTCATTTTGATTGGACTCGAAGTCTGGATTCTACTCCATTCGCTATAATTTTGGTTATATCTAAGGATCAAAGATCTCTTTTAGAAAAATCACATTTTGAAAAGATTTTAGAAATAGGTAAGCATTTTTCTTGCTTAAATTTTTAAAATTTACAGTTATAACATTCTCAAAAGTATCATATATATTTTGGTTTAATGCTGAAAATCAAAGTAAAGTATTAGTTATTAGAAAAATAAAAGTATTAGAATCTGAAGTAAACTAGAAAAAATATATTTTTTAATCTAGAATTTGTTGATAAAATGCTATATTAGAGAGGTTGCGGCCGAAGTTTTCATGTGTAAAACGTGAACGTCAAACGTCGAGCGCCGCTATCTTGTAAGCGGCGCTCGACGTTCGACGTGCACGTTTATACATGAAAACTTCGGCCGCAGCCTCGCTATTAATTTAACTGTATATCTTATGATTAAAAATTATGAATCATAAATTAATTGTTCTTATTATTATCTTTATTTTTTTATTTAGATAACATCATACAAAATTTAACAGCTAACTGGAATAACAAAACCTGGAGATACAGAGATTTATGTACAATTAATAACGGAGAATGTTTCAAGCAAACCCTTTTACAATATTCTCATCAAATTCTAAATAATGGAAAACGATTCAAATATCCCTTAGAAGTGAACAGTACTAATTATAATATAAAATTTACAGCATTAAATTTTGGAGGAGTTCAACTGAATGAAAGAAATGAAATCATTTCTGTTAAAGCAATAAAATTAATCTATCTCCTAAAACATTCGGAAGCATCTGATATTTGGCAAAAACAGTTCCTTCGTGAAACAGAAAGTATTCAATACGATGGCCTTGCTACAACTCGAATTGCCAGCATTAGTATTCCCGAGGAACTTGAAAGAAATGCCAAAACTGTGCAATCTTTCTGCTCTCTTGCCGTTTTTCTAATGATAACATTTGGAATGATTGTCTGTACAGATAGAGATTGGGTAAAAGCCAATCCGTGGCTTGGATTAATCGGCTGCATTTCTGCAGGATTAGGAGTCTTATCCGCATTTGGTGCTGTACTTTTTTGTGGTGTCAAATTTAACGATATCGTTTCTTCTGTTCCTTATTTGATGCTTGGTAAGTTTCTTCATATAAATATTTAAATATAAGTAGAGTTACTTATGTAGATTCGTGTATGCATTTTATAAATGACAAAACATGCAATCTTTCTTTCTTTTTTAATAAAATTCAAAATTTTAAATAGGAATCGGCTTGGACGATACATTTGTATTGTTAGCAGCGTGGAAAAGAACTAATCCAAAAGATAGCGTAGAAGACAGAATGGCAGCATCTTTTTCTGAAGCGGCAGTTTCTATCACCATTACATCAGCCACTAATTTTATATCTTTTCTCATAGGATTAACCATGCCTTTTCCGATTATTAGAATTTTCTGTACCTATGCTGCTACATCCGTAATATTTTCTTATATTTATCAAGTTAGCTTTTTCGGTGGTTTTATGGCCCTGAATGGAAAAAGAGAAAAACTCAATTTGCATTCGCTATCGTTTCAGCCAGTTCTTCCTAAACCATTATCAGGTGAGTAGAATTATTATATTTCAAGCATTGATTTAATTTAATAATAATAGCTATTCTCCCAAGTTTTTAAAACATTTTTCTCCCTGAAAAATAATAATTATTAAGTCTAAAACTGTAATAATCAGGTCCTAACACGGAGGGATTAGCAGGACTATTTAACTCGGGCCTTCTATATTTACCGATCCTCAAAAGAATTTCATACAAATAATACTCAAGAAATAAAATAGAACGAATAAAATATTTCAGGATATTTTTAATTTGAATTTTATTATTTAAAAAATATAATAGAATTTTTTTATGTTTTTTATTCACTATGGCCTTATAAAATAAGTGCACCTTGGCCTATCTCGATCTCTTAGAGGTCCTAATAGTAACTTATTACATAATAGTAAATAGTAAAAGTACAAAATCATATCTTAATCTATACTAATATTATAAAGAGGTAATGTTTGTAAGTATGTATGTATGTAAGTTTGTTTGCAGCAGGTAATCTCCGAAACTACTCATCCGATTTCAAAAATTCTTTCACCAATATTTAGAATGGAACCTCAGGGTGGACATAGGCTGTATATTATTCCGTTAAACATTCATATAAATTAAAATATATAATCTAGGTTAAGGCTTTTATGTCCAACAGATGGCGCTACGAGTACGACGCCCTAAGTTTGCTTTTCTGTGAGGCATTATGCTTTTCTGTGAAAATGAACTAAAGCAGATCATCTTCTATCTATCTATATAAATAAAAATGTAATGTTCGTTTGTTCCTACCGATTCCTTTGAAATTTTGACACAACGCTGCATTCGAATACGCACGTGTTTTTATATAATATACGTGTCGAAATTCCCCCCACTGAAGGGAGATGGTTAGGATTAAGGCTTACCGTAAAGAACTCTGCTTCTATTTATACTATTTTAGATGCGGTTTTTTGCGTTTTTGATTGCGTTTTAATAGGGTACGTCAACAGAATGTACACTAAGAAGAATTTTTCGAAAAATTCCCCCCCCACGGGGAAGTGTTATAAATTTATAATAGATACATTTTGAGCCACAACAACGCGTGGCAGGGTCTGCTAGTTATCATATATATATATATATAAACAGAATTATTTATTTTCTTAACCTTTCTATTGTATTATACTAAGACATCGCACTCCTCATTTACGGCATTCAATGTATATAACTACAAAGGTTATTGTACACAATTTTAATTGTATACAGTAGAGGAATAAAGGATTGTGTTATAGAGGATAGGAATTGTATTAGGTTTTTCACTTGGTGTGATAAACCCTTACATAAGACAACCTTTGTAGTTATATACGAAAGACTTCATATAAAACTTGTTTAAATAAAAAATCTTGTAAAATGCTAGAATAATTCCTTTTATGTGATAATAAAATGTTTAAATTTTGGCAACAGATTGTATAAAACTACCAGAGTTCAGCGGTTTTATGCACTAGGCTATAGGACAGCGCTTAGAAATTGGTATAGCGCGAAATAGACGCTCTATATCATCATTGTCGCAGTAAATATGTGAATATAATATATATTTTTTATAAGAATTATATTTAGTTTTATTATTTTGTTAAATATCCTGCCAATATATGGCGCTACGTGTAAATCAGCAAATCGAATGTAGATAGAAATTAATTGATTTAAAGAAATCCAATAGATATTTTGGAGTGAGATTACGACATTATCTAAGTTAAAAGTAATTGAACGTAACTACCTAGTTTCGTAGCAATTGGTTGAACGGCCTACGAGTGTATAGTGAACAAACAAACAAACAAACATCCTCTTTTATATAGATATAGATAAACAGAATATTGAATTATTTATTGAAATGTGTACATATAGAAAAATACGAAAAAAGTTATCACACGTAGAAGAAACAGTAAATTTAAAAAATTCTAGTAACGACTTACGTACTGTACTTATCTCAGCTGTTACGAGATTTTATTTTAAAAATAATTTATATTTTAATTTTAATTTCAGTATAATAAATAATTTGTGTATGGCGCCATCTGTTATGACATTTTGTTATTTTGTTATGACATTTTGTTACATTTTCTTAACCTTTCTATTGTATTATACTAAGACATCGCACTCCTCATTTACGGCATTCAATGTATATAACTACAAAGGTTATTTGTTATTAAAAACTTTTTATATATTTATAATTATTATCGAATCACCCCTATATCTCCCATCTCCTCGAACTTTAACCACCAAAATTTAATAACATGAATGCCCACACAACATGCCAAATTTTATTTTTTAATCTTTACCCCATTCTTCTTCTTCATCTTCACCTTTTACCATGTTTATATGGGGTTGGCGTTTCTTTCTCTAATATGTTTCCTCCATTTTAACCGGTTGGAATGAAAATTGAAACATTACTACATTCACAATTACTAGTTTTGTAAAGGAAATCAATGCGTTTCATTATTTTTTTTCGTAAATAATCTTCTAACGAACAATAGAACTTAAATTATACAATTATATTAAATCGATTATGTATGAAATTCTGTTGTATTCTTACAATTCGATATAAAAAAAGAAAAAAAATCTTTAAACACAATAAACTTTTTCCTGTTTTTTTTAAAAACCAGATACTTATTTAAGATGTATATTGACACATCAGTCAATTCTCTGAATGGTATCTTTGATAATCCTTAATACAAACTGTGGATCGATTGTTATACGTTGAATGACCTGAAAATTTTCCTAATATAAAATTATGCGATTTATATTTTAACATTACTCGTTGTTTCTTATCAAACACGTGAACTGAATAATAAACCAACTTATAGTCTAAATGATTAATTTAATATGCAATGGAATGTAGTAAAAACGTAATATAGTAGTAACAATGGATCTGGTAAATACACAAGATTATATACAGTACATTTGCTAGAGATCGCGTGCATAATATTGAAGAAGTTTTAAACTAGGGATATGAATTGTCATTTAGCAATAAATAAAACACGCGTTATATAGAAAAAGCATTACTTATAGTAATTTTGTGCAAATTAATTATATTAACCATGTTGATTAATTTACTACGCTAGTCTTTCATTTCATCTTTCATGTAGCTCCATCTGTATTTGAAATTATTAAACAGAAGTTGAAAACTCGTAAAAATGCAGTGATCCCGATTGCGAGGAGCTCTGATTTCGAGGGATTTTAGAGTTCGATGATAAAAAATGTTTGCAGAGGTGCTATTATTTAGAAGAAATGAGAAAAAGACGAAAGGAACAATTGAATTTTAAGGAAAATTGTGGCACAGGGTGCACTGGCAGAGTGTATAGGTCGCATTAAAAAACGAAGAAATATATCGAGGGATTCCCCAGAATTCCCTGAACAAAAATGTTTGAAGACAACACCATACAAGGGTGCTTCTAATTCAAATTTGTCAGGGCCCCCATGAATCTATAACTGGGTAAAAAAGGTGCAATGTAGAGGAACGAACCAAGATCCACTGATGGCAAAATATTCTTTTATATTTAAAATATATACTGTACCAATGTTTATGTTTAAATAATTTATTTTCATTCGCATGTAGCAATTCCCGTTAAGTAATCGAATTAAAAATTACGTAACAGACCTGAAAATAAAATGATGACACGTGCCATTTCAAGACGTGCTTTCATTTTATTTTTAAACATGCAGGGTGTTTCAAAAGTGATTTTCTATTATGTTGAAATTAGAAATATCTTTAAAATTTCTTATAATGGTTTCTGACTAAATCGTAGGTTTATTTGAGGAATTTTTTTTAGGGTTACAATTACAGGAACCATGTACCTTGACATGCTTAAACAATTCTTAAATCTCAGCTTCTTCAAAATGGTATTCTTAACACAGTAATATTTCAGGATAAATCATCATGCCATTATGTAAGAATTGTTTGGGATTATCTCAACATCTTTCCCCATCGTTGGATCGTCCTTGGAGGACTCAAACTCACATGATTTGGGATTTTCTGTGTGGAAGAGTCCAAAAATATCAGTTTAGTGTGGACTAAAGTGATATTTTTCATGATCTAGGCCCCGACTATTGGAGTCAGTTGAATTCAGTCCGATCACAGAAGTCTTTAAATTTAAAATATTTGCTCTATTGGTCAGATAGTACATATTTTAACCTAACTTTGTCTTTATTCTTTAGAATTTCTCATTATAAAACTAAAGAGATTATGTCAAATTGATACAAAATGCTCATTATCTCAACTAAACAAACAGACTCTTAATTAATCTTACGTAAAAAAAACACGAAAGTAATGTAAATTAAAGCTTTCTTTCATTAGTAATGAAGAATCTATTTAAATTTTATCGGTTTTATTAATATATTTTTGTGAATTTCATCTCACCTCTTCCAAACCCTGTTAATGATTTATTTAATAAATCTTATTTTTATAGAATGCCATAGATTATAATTCGATTAAACAATAATAAATGCTACTCTATACTAATTTGTATTGAGTTACAGTAGAACCTCGATTATCCGCCCTAATTGGGGACTGGGGTTGGTCGGATAATTGAAAAGTCGGATAACCGAAAAGTATGAAAAAAATCCATTATTAGTGTAGTATATTATTATATCCCATGTAATTAGTATATTAGTATATCGCTATTAACCTATTTTGCGTTGAATTTTCATCGATGTTAAGCCTAACAAAAATTTTTTAAAATAATAATCGTCGCTATTGTATCGTTAAAAATTAGAAAATTAAGCTTTGTTTAAATACTGGCTCCCTTTCATGGTCGAATGAGTGTTGCCAGCTAAAATACGTAAAAATAATATTAAAGTAGCCAAGACATAGCCAAATATTGTAGCGCCACATCACTAGCGGACATTTGAAATTTGTGGACTAGGACGGTCGGTTAACCGAGGGGTCGGTTGATCGGGGGGCGGATAATCGAGGTTCTACTTTATTTACGATTTATTAACCAATCTTTCTTTTTTTTCCTACAGGAGAAAAAAGTTTCTTGTATAGACTTTTATGCACGGGAGGAAATGACGATGTCTTTTCTGAAAACTCACAACTTAAAGAAGATTATAATTTAAGTATATTTTTAAGAGATTATTTAGGAGAATTTTTATCAAAACCACTCGTAAAAGGTTGCGTTGTGATAGTATTTCTTGTGTACTTTGCCTTGGCTCTAGTTGGATGTTGGAATATCGAAGAAGGATTAGAACGTTATTTAGTATTTCCGTATGATTCTTACGTAATTCCTTTTCTAAAACAAAGACAATCTTATTTTGGCAAATATGGTGATAGAATACAAATTGTTATTAAAGAACCAATCGATTATTCTGATATTAAGATTCAGAATAAAATAGAATTACTTTTTCAACGATTAGAAAACAGTTCTTATTTCGGAGATTCAACTTTAACACAATCTTGGTTGAGGTTAAGTAATTTTTTAAATCAATTTTTATAAAGAATATTTTATATATCTTATTTATATAATTTATTTTTTATATTTTTAGATATTACTTGAATTTTTCTCGAAGTTCTCAGTTAAGCCGGCTTATGAGAAATTTCGATTTAGAAAATAAACAAGAATTTATAGACGGACTACAAAACGTTTTCTTAAAATTTCGTTATGCTAAATATTTTCAAAAGGATATTATTTTCAATAAAAATTCGACGGAGATCCTCGCTAGTCGTTTTATCATACAAACAATGAACACTTATTCTTCAAAGTCAGAGAAAGAGATGTTGTTGTATTTATATAAAACAGTAGATGAAAGTCGTTTACCAATTGCAATGTATTCTCGATATTTACCTTTAGTAGAGCAGCACGTAAGTATATTTCTCTCTCAAATATATATTTTTTTTCTATATAAAAATAATATATATATATTGTTTTCCATTTTATAAAAATCATTTCTAAGAAACTTTCTGCTGATATTCATATTTTCCCATTTAACATTTAAATAAAATGTTATTTTAAGCATAAATTATTTTATAAAAAATTATAATTTAATTAACAATATATTTATTAAATATTACAGATATTAGTGAGAGGTATCTGTCTACAAACAGTAAGCATAGCTGCAGTTGTAATGATGATTATTTTCCTCATATTTATTCCCAACTTGATTTGTGCCGCATGTGTAGCATTTTCCATCATCTCCATCCAAATAGGAGTATTGGGATACATGACATTCTGGTCTGTTAGATTAGATACAATATCTATGATGAACCTCATCATGTGTGTTGGATTTTCTGTGGATTATGCTTCTCACATTTCATACATTTTTCAAATAACTAAATCTCGTGATCCAAATGAAAAACTAAAATGGTCACTCTATGCTGTAGGTGGACCAATTATTTATGGTTGTTTATCTACAATTTTAGGTGTTTTTATTCTATCCTTCACGCCTTCTTATATGTTTGTAGTATTTTTTAAAATTGTATTTTTAGTCATCTTATTTGCATTTCTTCACGGTTTATTGCTGATTCCAATATTTCTTAGTATTTTTAACTGCTGTCAAAAGGAAGAAGACAAACAAAAGAATGGTATTAATCGTGAACAGACTATAAGAATAAAGTTAAGTGAAGACGAACAAGAGAAGAATCAAGATAGTGATGTGGAATCAGATGAAGATGAACAATGTTCTCAAATATCTGCTGAACATTCCGAAAACAAGTGAAAAGAATAATTCATAATAATATAATATAGCACAAATTTTATACTTAATTATCATATCATATACAGAATTTTATTTAAATATTTTATAACGGATTATCTCGTAAATGAATTATATAATTCGCATTATGTTAATTTAATCATGAATATTTATTATATCGAAACGCCTTTGAATAATATAAAAGTTATTTTGTTATCTAAACAATTACAAACGTTATTAATAATTTTATATCCTTTTAAAATATTATTATAGGCTATATAAGTTTATGGAAGAGCTACTTAAAATCACAAAATTTTTATAAACGAAATGGAAAAAAAATATATTTAAATTTTGTTACTAAGTATAGAAATTATTCATAACTTTGTACTAAAAATGTTTTTCTAGTCATTCTCGCCTATGAATTATTAATGAATTTTTTATCATGTTTTAAACGAGTGAATAAAACGATTTTAATAATACTTTTTCACCTGTGTTTAATACTGTTAAACAGTTACCTTGTATCAATTAATCATTTTTTTTACGTTAATAATATAAAAATATTTTATCAATAATTTAGTGCAGTTTTTTAAAAGATTGAAATTGGAAANAAATTTATATTATTGATTAATTAAACACTTCAAATATTAACAGGAATTAAATAAATTTAAGTACGAAGAAATTAGAAGAAAGTTTCTTGTGTATTGTACAATTGGAAGATTAATGCTAGATTGTAATTGAATGTATTGATACTTCAGGCTATATGCAAGATGGTCCTTTACACCTGGAGTCCCTTTACATCATTGCAGATTCCGAAAAATTAATTAAGAGAAAACTCGTGAAAAAAATCTCTGAGTACGAGCAAAACGATTGGATTCTTCTTTACGATAACACACCTGTACACTACTCCGTTATTGTTTAACAAACCATTGCTGATTCGAATAACAAGTTAATGGCCCGTCAATTAACAAGACTAAAAGCAATATTAGACTATTTATATGCAAAATAGATTAGCCAATTTAACAATAATCTGAATTGGGAGTGATGTATTCAATTCAAAAGTTCAATTAACTGAATTCTTTACACACCATGAACACTTTAAGGCTATTAAAAGCCCGCAGAAATATTTAAATAACACACTGTCACATTAACACGTCGATGACTTAATCGTTTTAAATTGAATTTTATCACAATTGTATGGGTTGCTTCGATACCTTATCTCAAAAGTAAAGAATTTCGTACCTTGCACTGGGGATCGTGTAATCGGAATTTCAACGCTTTTTTCCCATTTTTATATATGTAGCTTTTATGTACATATTTCATTAATTAGAAATCATTAGTTTTCATTTTTCTATTGGTATATACGTATAATTAACCTGTTAAACTTATTACGAAAGCACACTTTTATTATNAATAACACACTGTCACATTAACACGTAAGAATTGTTTTATAAATTGAAAAATATAAATAAAGTTTCTATGAATTTTTTTTTACATTAAGTTAGAAAAACACATCTTAAGTTCATCTATTATTAATACAAAGTTTTCTCTATTATTTTCCTAAAAAATCATGGATTGAAATTGCAAATTCTTCGCAGTAAACTGAATAAATGTAAACTTTTTTATCGTCTTACTGTATATAATTAAATTTATCTTTAGTTCTATTTACATAAATTTTATAGTCCGTAGCCATCATGCGAATGCAATAAATAGATAAATATAAAATTCAATTTTTACCCCCTTAAATATTTGAATTTTTTATCTTAAAAATTGCTTAATCTTGTAGTATAGTTTTTATAATAAATGTTAAATAAGTTTGATTTTTTTCATCAAAGTTATTGAAATTTTTACTTTTTTCATTATTCGGTAATAATTTTTATATGAACTTATACATCATTTTAAATGTAATTTATCTATAATCTTGGTTTTAAGAATTTTAAGATAAAATGAATGAAGTCTTTATCAATAATTTAATATTTGCTTTAATGAAATTTAGCAATTCAGTTAAAACTTTATATTTTACGCTATAAAGTGTAATACGAGGTCTATTCAAAAAATACGCGGACTGACGTCATAAAACAAAATGTACTTTATGTAGAAGTTACATGTCTGGGTCCCCTTCAAAGTACTCTCCTTCCCAACACTTATCCCAACGGTGTTTCCACTTGTTGAAACAGTCCTGGTACGTTTCTTTTGTAATGTCCTTCAACGCCTTCGTCGCATTTGCCTTAATCTCGGGAATCGTCTCAAATCTTCTTCCTTTCAAAGGTCTTTTGAGTTTGGAGAACAAGAAAAAGTCACAAGAAGCAAGGTCAGGTGTGTAGGAGGGGTGAGGAAGAACCGTAATCGAGTGTTTGGCCACGAGTTCTGAGCTGAATGGGCTGGATCATTGTCGTGATGAAGAAACCAGTCGCCACTCCTCCACATTTCTGGCATTTTGCGACGGATGGCGTCCCTCAGACGTTTCAGAACTTCAATATAGTAAGTCTGGTTCACTGTGGAGCCTTGGGGGAGGTACTCGTGGTGAACAACGCCCTTAGCATCAAAGAAAACTGTCAGCATCACCTTGATATTGGAACGAACTTGGCGAGATTTTTTGGGTCTGGGGGACGTTTCACCCACCTACTGGGACGATTGGATCTTCGTTTCAATGTCATAATCGTAAACCCATGATTCATCACCTGTTATGATCCTTGACAAGAAGTTTTCATCTTTTTCTGAACGATCAAGCAATTCCTGACAAATCTGGACGCGATTGGCTTTTTGGTCGTCCGTCATCTGGCGTGGCACAAATTTCGCAGCAATGCGGTGCATCTTCGATTTTTCGGTCAAAATTTTGTAACAAGATCAAACTGATATCCCACACTCTTCAGCAAGCTCCCTGATGGTCAGACTTCGATTTGCCCGCACCAGGGCAAGATTTTGTCGACGTGTGGGCCGTCAGTTGACGTGGAAGGATGTCCAGGACGCTCATCGTCTTCAATCGACTGTCGACAACCCTTAAAACGTTCATACCACTTGAAACATGCCGTACGCTTCGTAGCAACATCACCGTAAGCCGTGTTGAGCATAGCAAATGTTTCAGTCGCAGATTTTCCAAGTTTAACACAAAAGTCTCTCCATAGGCCTATGTCTTTATCATTACCACGAGTTACTTGAAACATACCGTATTTATATATTTGACTATACTATATTTGAGTGTATTATAACACTACATATTTTTATATCAACATTATCAATTATCCTCTTCATGCCATGTAGAACATAGGTTCTGTTTTGTTCCATTAGCTTAATTTCTCCCCAACTCTTTCCCAAACTACAACAATCATCTTCGATCATATAATACCAAGAAAAGAAAATTCTTTCTTCAGATTAAAAGTTTGATATGTAGTCTTAATATATAGTATAATTCTTATTAGTAGAATCCGTTCTTTTCCAATTCGATTTTTATCTTTATTTAAAATTGTTATTATTATTAACTAAACTTTTAACAAAATAGTAACATATTTCGCTATTATTATGCAAATAAAATGCTTGCTTACACTAATAATTACATAAAATTTGTATCTATGTGTATATATTTTTGTTTTTTTTTATGAATTCCTTGATATCAATTGTAATGATATTCTCAGAGCAGTAATGACTTGCTATTCCCAGATTAAATAATAATAAATTGATTCTGGATATTGATATGAATAATTCCATTAAGAATTAACTATTGTATCTATTACTTGTTGTGTATTAGTATCAAATATCAATTTATTTTTAACTAAATTTAATCATTTAAAACTTTTTTATAAATATAATCCGTAATCAAAATCGAATCAATAAACTGCTATTTATCATAAGTATATTAATGAATTCCTTTGAAGTTATGCTTATAATCTTAATTATAGCGTTGATAGATTATTAAAATTTACTAGAAAATTAGCCAAATTAATATTCACTTTGTAGAATATGAATAATTTTAACATTAGTACTTGTATTGTAATACTGTAATACGAATTTTAGAACAATTTCACATACTTATTCTATCTTCACATTGATCAATTTAAAAGATATTTGTAAAATTTTAACTACATTTCGATAAATTAGTAGATTAAATAAATATATTTTTAATTGTTTTAATACCTAATACACCTATAATAATTTACTGTTATATAAGTTAACTTTCTTTTCGTAATATAGCAATTAATAATCAATATATATGTAAGTGAGAGAGAGCAACAGAATCTATATAAACACCACACTTTAGAAAAAGCAATTAACCTATAATATAACTAGTTTGTAGGAAAATACACTGTAATTTTCGATAGGTAATTTACCGAAGAGGAATGTACGAAGCCAGCTTTCTAGAAAATTAATCAATAGAACTACTCTAAAATTAATCTTGCAAGTTCCAATATAGGATTATTTATATTTAATTAGCCATAAAGTCAAATTGAATCCAAATGACTCTCAGCATATTAAAAGATAAAAATTACCATAAATTAAGTCTTTCATATTTCATTTAACAAGGCATAAAACTACTCAACGTAACAAATTCAAACGATTTAAAATTACTGAAGCAGTTTTATTCTTAAATATAAAGAAAAGTCTTATTAGATAAAAATAAATTTAAAAGCCATACTATAGGAAAGTTTGTTATGTAAGTAAGTTATATAAATATTAAATATAGTAGAAAATATATACTATTTATTTTAAAATGCTTTACTTTTTTTTTATTGACGTATAAACAACATAATAAAATTTTTAGATATAAAAATAAAGTAAGAATTCGTAAATGGTAAAACTAATCTTGATTTTATTTACGCATTTTAAAATTGAAATTTTAAAATTTAACAATTGTAGTCAGTGCCGGATTTATATTACATGTGGTCGTGTACTAAAAATAAATATTAAGTCTTACTTTAAAAAAGGAAACTTACTTATTCTATGCATTATTCATTTAAAAGGCATTGTGCAACGAAACAATTTGCAGTAGAACGTTGTTGTTGCCGTTTTTTGTTTTAAATAAAATTTAAATTTGTATTTATTTAAAAAAATACAGCAACGAGTTGCTTAACTTTTCCGGCAAAAACATTTAAAATTGCATGTGGCACCATCTATTATACAATATTTTATTTAAAATTTTTTTTTTATATTTTTAATTATTATAAAATGGTAAAAAGTTTAATTTTAACGGTAGGGATGAGTTTTATTTAAATAAAAAAAATTATAAATGCTAATAACGAGTAAAATCGTCAGTAAGTCCGACCCTAATCGAGATATGACACATATGCCATATGCCAAAATTTAATCGCATCAAACACCCTAATACACAAATCACCCTTCAAAATTTCAAAACTTTTCGACAAAAAGCACAGGAGTTATTAATTAATTAAGCTTCAAAGAGGGTGAATAAAATTGTGCAAAACACACCACACAGACACACTAACATCTATACATACAGAAAATCTACCAAATTTTTTTGCACATTCCTTTACGTTTTAAGGTCCTCTGAGTCCAAAAATATAAAAATCTCGCGGGGTCATTTTTTAACCGATTGCCATACTTTCCATTATTTTAACGTGTATTCTTATATCGGAGTTGGCTATTATTGTCCACGTGACATTGCCTGTAATACACTGTATATAAATTATGAAAGCCAAAAAAAAATCCATCCTAGGTTGAAGCTTAATAAACTGATAAATTCGACACTACTACATATAAAACATCATATTTTAAGTTTAGAAATAAACCAAATATTTTAAAATTATTTTCATTTTTTTTTAAACTGGAGTAACTTAATAATTTAAGTAAAATATTCTACATTTTAATAATATTATATTGTAAATACTTCATATCTGTAATACATATATATTATTTGCAAAGGGATTTATATATAAGTCTTTGGAAATATATCAAAAATGTTTGCTAATTTGATAAAATGTCAAACTTTAAATTTTACCAAGTCAACAAAAAATCAGTTCAACGCTTTGACCCAATACCTAACTACTTAATCAACCTTACAAAACTAAATCATACTTTTTACCCTAAATACATGTTATTTTTAGTAACTACGACAATGTTATTATATACTAATTTCAAATATTCTATAGCTAGATCTATAATAATGACTTTTTTTATATACAATTCTATTTTAAAACGTTTTTAATTAATTTAATATTTTGAAAAGCAAATTTTAAAATATAGAAGTTCTTCAAAATTTATGGTGAAATATTTAAAATAATTAAAATTTTAAATAAAAAAGAAAACAGGCGTTTTAGAATTACATAAAAGAGTAAAAAGTAATGAAATTTTCATAAGCATTATTCTTTAATATTTCAATTTAAAACTGAAATGAAATGCTCAAAATTTAAAGATTTTCATCAATTAATTTATATTTCTTTTATAAATTTACTTAAATATAAAAAAATAAAGCGATTTTAATGTATTTTAGAATGTTTTTTTTTTCTTGATTTTTAATGCATTTCTTTAAAAAAAATTTATAAATAATTTTTCTAATACATTTAAAATCGATTTAACTCAAGAGTTACCATATTAAATAGACAAAAAATAGATAAATAAACCTTTAAAAGATGAGATCTATTCGTTTTTTGAAATATATCAATATTATGTTATTTTTGTAAACATATTCCTTATTTGAAAGTAAATGAAAAAGTCAAGTATATGGCTTTTTAAATTTTATTTTTGTGTATTATTGTTCGATATCTTCTATTAAGATGAATACCTTTAAGAAGGGAAAGGGGGAAAAAATCAATATTTGTGTACGTAAATCTTCATTCGAAGTAAATCATAACGGTGTTGTGATACAAAATTTAGCGAGGTTGCGGCCGAAGTTTTCATGTGTAAAACGTGAACGTCGAACGTCGAGCTTCGCTATCTTGTAAGCGGCGCTCGACGTTCGACGTTCACGTTTTACAGATGAAAACTTCGGTCGCAACTTCGCTTTCTTGATCCAATTTCTGTAATCGTCCTGGTTTTATTCTTATTTATTTAGAGTTTTGCTTAAGTTCTCCCATAAAAAACATAATAATTATCTTTGATAACCTATTTAGGAAATTACTTTGAATGACATTCCGACGTAATTTCCGTTAAGAATGCTTTTACCAAAAATAAATATCGAATTATTTTAGATGTTTACAAATAAAAATAACATTTATTTTTACTTTAATAAAGCAATATATAGGCCTATATATGTAGAAGTGTAGTAACAACAATTTAATTAAATTATATAAGATAATTTGATTATTATTATTATTATAAATTAATAGAGTTTTATACTGTTTTCAGATGCCTCAAACCAGTCTTAAAGTGGGAAGTTTGACAGCTGTTGGATGGTGCACTCTCTGTGTTGAAATTATTGGTATAAGTGTATTAATAGGGGGTGCAATTTTGACGGGAATTTCTTACACGGAAATTAGACCCAATACCGCAGATAAAAATTATGACAGATTTTTGGGAGCAAATGTTAAAAGAATCGTTGGTCCTATCATGTTAGCATTTGGAGGAATCCTCCTTATCGGAGGATGCGTTTTTTTCGCTTTCGCTTTCTATTTTGCTAACAGAGAGTATAGAGCAAAAACAGTTACATATTCTGCAGCAGATGATAGGAAAGTCCCTTTCTGAATGTAAGTTATACTTTTAATATACATTTATATAATTAATATTAGAATATTTATGAGTATACTAGTCTATAATAATTTATAAACAATAATCCGTTGAGAGTACTCTCCCAATTTTTAGTAAAGATTTTCTATAAATACTTTAAGTTGAAAAGTCAATAATCTGGGTCATTAGAATTTTATAATATGCTTCATTATTTTTTGATGTATCAAAATATACGCAATGGGAATATTCGTTACACTTGACATAATCCATAATAAACTCAATTTCTCCTAGAAATTTATGACTTTTATTGCAATTTCACAATAAGAAATCATACTGTATGTAGCGAAATTGCAAATTTATTATATAACAGATGTTAAAAATTAACATTTATAATTAATTAACGCATATGGAAGATAAAGTAAATTATATTGAATATATCAATATATTTAATTATAGAAGAACCTTTAAATTATGATAAAGAATTAAAATTAATTATTATTTGTAAAAGATTTTCTAAACAGATAAAAATTAATTATTAATGAACTTTTCAATCTAATCAACAAGATATCAGACTTCATACTAAAATAAGAATAGAATAACAAATAAATTTTGAAATTTTATTATTTATTCATTTAAAAAATATATAATATATTATATATATAGTTTAAAAACAATTAATAAATTTCAGAACAAAAACATATGTTCCTAAAATAAGATATAATTAATAATAAATTAACTATTAATTAACAAAATCGATCGATAATATAATACAAACTGATGATCCTTTAACAATTACTTCCAAGTAAATAAAAACGAATAAAATTAAAAGTTAAAAAAGAAAATAATTATTCATTTGCCTTAATTTTTAAATAGTTTAAAACAATTTATTATAAAAACAGGACATTTAAAATGGTTAATAAAAGTATAAATTAGTTTAAATAGATTACTTTTAAAATAAAAGAATAAAATATAACGTTTAAAAAAATTTTGTCAAATAATTTAAAATATTTTTCTTAAACTTCTAAAAAAGAAATCTTTCTTGAAACAATTTTTAGATTTTTAAAAATAAAATTTAAAAAGAAAAAAAGGTTTTACTGGAAAGTATAGAGCAAAATATATTTTCACAATGCCAAACATATCATTAATGACGTCATTTTATTGGTTATCTGAGAAAGAGCCAAGTGAAAACTCTAGAAAGATGTATTTATAACATTTGTAATAATTCAGTGACGTTATCAGATATTAATTATGTGAGTAAAATTAGTTTTATATTTTTAAAATCCTGTTTACTTAAAGTTATTAATAATAGTAATATAGTATGACAATTCTAAATAATTTACATACGAATTAATTTATTTAAACATTAAAATTATTCATTTAATAAATATAAATAACACGTGAAGTTGAGATGATATTCTATTAAGCACCTTTTTTTAAATTATATAATAATTAATTAACATAATAAATTTTTAATCTAAATTATATTATAAATTCAAATAATTTTAAAAAAATATTATGATTTATTGTTTGTTAAACTTTGTATATAATTAAAATTTTCTTGAAACCTATTCAAATTCTTAGATTAATGTTAATAGAAAAGTTCTTCATAATGTTTATTCTTTAGAATTTAAAACATATTCTAAAAATAAATGTTCATGCAGACAATAAATAAATAAGTTTTAAATGGTGATAAATTTAGTTATAAATAAATATAAACGTATTTAAAAAAAAAAAATTTTTATACAAATTTACAATATTTTCTACAAGAATTTTGTTTTAGAAGACTTTCAATGTCTATTTAATCTGACGAAATTCTTTATAATTAGATTTATCAAGAACAATTGTAATGTTTAGACTTATTAATTTAATATAAAAACTAGTCTAATATAAACGTAATAATAATATATAGGTAAATGTCTCTTCAATCCGAACAAAATTTCGGTAGACTTTCTCACAGCTCACTTAGTAATAATAATATATTTTTTTCTAGTTTGAGTTCCAAGAAATGTTAAATCATTTGACAATCGACTTCTACACAGTAAAATAACGTATAATCGCCTTATTTTTAAAGATATTTTTATTGTTAAATTTATTTAGTTTGATGGAATCTTTATGTCACTAATTGACATTTTGATTTATGTTTACATTAAAATAATATATATATGTGTATGTGTGTGTTTATCATTTTGTTATATAAAGTGGATTTTTTAAAAATACACCCTNCCCTTAAAACGTTCATACCACTTGAAACATGCCGTACGCTTCGTAGCAACATCACCGTAAGCCGTGTTGAGCATAGCAAATGTTTCAGTCGCAGATTTTCCAAGTTTAACACAAAAGTCTCTCCATAGGCCTATGGTCTTTATCATTACCACGAGTTACTTGAAACATACCGTATTTATATATTTGACTATACTATATTTGAGTGTATTATAACACTACATATTTTTATATCAACATTATCAATTATCCTCTTCATGCCATGTAGAACATAGGTTCTGTTTTGTTCCATTAGCTTAATTTCTCTCCAACTCTTTCCCAAACTACAACAATCATCTTCGATCATATAATACCAAGAAAAGAAAATTCTTTCTTCAGATTAAAAGTTTGATATGTAGTCTTAATATATAGTATAATTCTTATTAGTAGAATCCGTTCTTTTCCAATTCGATTTTTATCTTTATTTAAAATTGTTATTATTATTATTATTTAATTAAATAACTTTTAATGGATTTGGGAATGCATTTGGCGAAAATTAATTCTTCTAAATTATTATTCCCTAAACGTGGAAATCGAATCGTCGTAAACATTATTAAATCATGTGAAATGAGAATTTAAAGTGTAATTTTCAAATCGATAAAGAAGTTTTAAGTTTAAATATCAGTTAACACTTCTATTTTTGGCATTAAAAAAATGTATATTTTTTAAAAAAGGAAAACATTTTTTGCCATTTTTAGTTTATTTATTAAATTATAATTCGAGATTTAATTTCTTAGGAGAAAAAAAAATTATTAGTTGATATTTAACAACCATTAATTTTAATTAAATTACTCTATAATTCCAGACAATTGTTCTAACTTCATCAAGGTTAACTTCTCTGTTTAGATTCAAAATAACAAAAGATATAATGGCTCATTATCAGCGCTATCAAAATAGAAAACAACGTAGAGGTTATAAAAATAGCAATAATAGCATTAGTAGCATTATCAGTTGTATTATTCATGTTCACCTTTTTGCTTTAATAAATCAATTATTTTTATTATAAATCTTGGATTTTGTTTTAGGAAATATCATTACAAAACAATCATTTTCAAACAGTGTTGGAGAGTATCAAAATCCATTATTCTGNCAATACATATAAATAATCTGAGAACGTAAAAATAATATAATCTGAAGTAAATATTCTGAATATAAAAATTTTGTCCCTAAATTCCTAGATTTACTGATAATAACGTACAGGAATATAGGTTATAAATGTAAAAAAAATAAAAAATACTATCAATGAAAAGGATAAGAATATTTTAAACATTTATTATGTAAAATATTTATTTACTTAAATTAGTTTAGTATATATAAATATAAATGTTTCAGTATTTAAATTAAAGGGTATGCAATTTTATGTGACATGTGGTTTGTACTTGTTAAGCACGTAATTTAACATCATATTTTATACGATTTAAATTAGAAATAATTGATCATTAAAAAATTTAATTGATCGAAGATATTATATGGAATTTAAATAAAATTTCGATTTTATAATGGAATGTATTCTTAATTTCTTAAATTTTAAAGAAAGCATTTGTTTCAAAACTGACCTGGAAACTTTATACGCCCACCTCATAGCCTAAAACATTTTGTTTTTGACATTTATACAATCCTAAAGACAAAATATTGGGTATGTATGTCATTTCAATAAGTTATCTCTTAAACAATAAAATTGCTTGACTAACAGCCTATTTAATTTTAGTTAAAACATGCCTTAATTTGATAAATTAATAAAGGAAATATGGAAAAAACTTTAAAGGAAAAAACTTTAAAATACTAATAGAGGCTAATTTATTTTTTCTCTTAATTAATTACACTGTTTAAAATTTCATTTTAAATAGTTAAATATTTTTTATACATTACATAAAAGCTAAATTATATTACAATTATGTTCCTAGAAATGAAAATTATATGTTAAGCTTAAATATACAATGACAAAGTCAGCAGCAACTTAACGAGAAGCATAGCAAATTTACCAAAATATATATAATAAGATTAATATATTCTGGTAAATTTCTATGCGTAGGCTTGTATTTGAGAGGAAAATGTCTAGAATTAGAATTTTTATGCATGAGAAGGAAGTGTAGAAGTTGCATTTCCGCATCTCATATAGAAGTTCGTTTATTCTCAATAAAATAATTTATTTTTATATTTATTTTATTGAGAATACTGATGTAAAACAGGCAGATAAACGACATAGATAGCGTTTATCTCTATGACTTTTCCGTTGAATCTATGTATATAAGCTTAAATATTCATGAAAATTTAATGCTTACAAAAATTTTTGACAATTGTCATTACAGTTCTATAACTTTTAATACTTAATTTGTCTATAAAACTAATTATTTATAACTAGAAAATTAATCTGCTTTTCTATTTATTACATTAATTCATAGATTAAAAGTATATGTAATACATTATTTTGGCTCGATACTTATTATGCAGAACATTAAGCTTCTACTTAATAATTTGTTTCATAGGCTAATAAGCATTTTAATCAGCGTTGATCTCTAGAAAACTTCTGAGAAATTTGTCATAGTCATGGAAAACAATCATGCGTGTGGCATCTTTAATGAAACTTGTAGTACAATAGTGTTAGCATTATAGAGGGTGAGTAATCAATGAAACTGTAAAATAAAGTACGTATTAGCCTATGAGGCTTTCTTCTTGATACTTATAACTCATTTATGAGTATGAAGCGAGAATAATGCGTTACATTTCTGTTCCTCGACTCAATTATGACGTAGTTATTA